AAAATAACATACAATAACACATGAACAACATACAATAACACTTGAATAACACGAGGGGAATATTTCATTGTATTACCCACCTCTATGACGTAATTTCATTGGTCTTCGCAAGTAACTCTACGTGCGGATCAAGAATGGTTTGAAAATTGTTGAATTTATTTTGAAATTAATGCAATATAGAGGGCTTCTTTTGGATAACCTCTAATTTTTTATTTTCTTATGGATATTTTTACTTGAAATATAATAAATTTGTTATGCTATGAATTATGGTATTTTAGTTATTTTCAAAAATACAAATTATTAATTTTTAATATTTTGAGTATTTTTAAAATAAGTTCAGTTTATTTTTTAAATTAAGAAATAAAAATATATTAAACATACACTAAATAAATGCTTTTAAAATAAAATTTTATTTTAGAGTTTAGGAGGATTGTGCTCATTTGGTAATTGCCAAAAATGCATAGATTTTGTGCATTCACTATAAAGAAAAAATCCGAGTCACTCGAATCTTTTGAACATATAAAATTATTATTAGCTTTTTGTAAAATTAATAATCTTTTCATGCATATATTTTAATGGAATTAAAATATTAAAATTTTACATAAATAAATATTACAATTTATATATTAGAGATGTAAATATATAAAAAAATGAATGGTACGTATAAAGCAATGCCAAGGCGCACAGAGAGCTGCGTGCAATGCCTACCTTCAATAATGTACTCATTTCTTAACAACAAAATTGCAGTAAACGATAGCACCCGAAGCGAAATATGCTCAACACACCTTAAAAATAATTAACATAGGACATTAAATATAGTAATCTCAATGATTTTTTTTTAAATAACATATAGACTTCATACCTTATGAATGATTTTTGTGAGGGATTTAGATATATTCCACATTATTCTTATAAATTTACATATTTAATACCTAAAATTTGATATTTATATAATATCCAAAAATCATTAAAATCCAATGAATCATTTTAGAATGTAGGGTTTCGTATTGTTCGTGAGTTCATACAGTCAGGTAAAGAACATATATTTAGGAGAAAGGTACAAAGGAAAGTGATACAAGGATCTTTGCTTGTCCCATAACTAGAGAGAGGGGGAGTGTTAAATTCCTTTGGGAGGTCCTTGAAAGAGGAAAAAGCCCCCTCTCTCAAGCCCTTATAACCTCCTTTATAAATGAGAGAAAAGAAATAGAAATTTACATTACACATAGTGCAGTGTTTATCTGTGTTATCAGGGTGAAAATATTGAGATATAGGTGTTGGACGACACCATGAGGATTGACACATGTCCTTGTGTGTAATGATGATTTTCTCCAGTGTTTAAGTTGGTTTGATCATAGTAGCAGGTGAGCTCAGTTCGACCCCTTTGACATGTGGGCTCAGTTCAACTTCATCGGCAAGTGGGCTCAGTTTAAGAATAACTAAACCTTTGGATATGAGCCTCGGGACCCACAAGCCTCTTTACGAAGTATCCCTGAAAAAAGCCTTATTAGGTAATATGGTTGTATTTTGAGTATACATTTAGTTCCCAGACTCTTTTGTCTCTTCAACTAAGGACTATGATAGAACAAGAGAATGAAGATTTCTCTATTTTAAAGAGTTTGCAAAAATATTTATTCCTTGTTGTGTTTTACATGTTAGTTTGAGAAAACTCCTTGAGGCGTGCCTGCAATGTGTTCCATAACTGAATTTTCCTTGACCTAGGGGTACTACGACTGTATCTGCAAGGAATAGACCATCTTGTGCTCATCCCTAAGTAAGTTCGCCTAGGGGTAATTTGTGCAACACCTGCAAGTAGTCTCTTAAACTCCTTGGCGAGTGCGACTAATTTTAATTCTCAGAGGCCTTGGCTCTCAACCAGGAAAGTGTTCGTTATGAATCTTTGGTTCTACCTGTAGGGACATGACGATCTGACACTCTGTCATAAGAAAGGTTTGTTGCATGATTTGTTTAGCAACTAGAACTAATTTTCTTTCTGATAGAGTTGAAGGGGTTCTTTAAAATGTTTAGAATGCGAGAGTAAGAATTATTATTTTCCTGTTCGTATTTTTGTCAGAGAATAAATGTCGTATCGAGCATGTCCCAATCCTGGATATGTAGGACCCAAGTGTCTGTTGTAATGTAGTTATGTTATCAAATTATAGGAAAGTTAATATTAAAAAGTTGCATTAACGGTGGTGGTTGATAAACTTAAAGGGTGTACTCCCTTTAGGGTTATAAAAAGGTGTTTCAAAGAGGTTGTAAGTTCCCATTGTGAAGAAGAGTGATTCCTTATGCTTGTGGAGATCGTTTAACTTCAGTATTCCACATGGACAAAAAATTGTCATAGGGGTGATGATTTCAAGATCAGCCTTCAAGCTAAACTCTATCATCAAAGGTTTAAAGAGCTCGGGTCCATAGATGAGGGAGCTCGAAACAAAAGTAGACATTATGTGGTTTTGAATGCCGATGATGGGGGTACTTCCCGTAATCTCCCTTTAGAGACTACGAAGGTGTTATATCCAACTAGGTTTGTAATCGAGTCGAGCCGAGCTGAGTATCATTGTTCGAATTAGGCTTGATATAATTATAAGTTTTCATGTTCGGTTGGAGCTTGTGTCAAACTTTTCATATATTGTTCAAGCTTGTTTAACTTTTTCAATGTTTGTACTTGATTTGTTTATGACAAGTGAACAAGCATTTAAACGAGTTAAAAGAATTCAAACGAGAACCTAGATTTTCATATAAACAATTTAATAAATATTTTTGCAATTTTAATCATAGGTACTAATTTGCCGATTAAGAACTCTAAAATGTTTGAACTCCACTAATAAGCTACATAATTCTTATTGATATGATTACACTAGTTCAAATTTTGGAAGTGGGAGACTTAAATTGATCTTAAAAGTTATAGGGATGATCATTTACTTAATCATATTAATAAGAAAATAATAGCAATAAGACAATCCACATTAATGTTGTTGTCAATTGCAATATGATTGTCATAAAAAATGAACTCATTACAATCAATGTAATGAAAACTCAACAAGAAAAATTTTTTATGACTCTCTTTAAC